ATCAAAGAGTCAGTGCTGGGTAGAATGGTCTGGTTCCACCTCATTACCATTCGAATGCAGGTTTGGCTTGTTTGTATTTCTGTAAACCAATCACGTGTCTTGGGCGGGGCTTGCAATAATGACGTTCATTCAAAATAGTGAAAAGAAAATAGTTTTGGTTGAATATTTGCATACAAGGAATCGAGCAGTGTCAATAATCTTCTTCATTGCTTGAGTTGAAATGTTCATTTCGTTCAGTTGCTGCCCGAAGTTGTTGTTTCCCAAAGTAAAGTGGATTTTGAATAACATGTAGATAAAGTCATATTGAGTGTGCAGCCAATGGCGGACTTGCACGTAAAGTCTACTTGCGATAACTCAGACTACTAGCTAGTTGGACAGATAGTTACTAAACACTAGCGAGCATCCAGGTACGTCCAAGACAGTAAAGATGGCAGCAACTGGGCCACGTGAGGCTCAAGAGGTGTGTGAAGGAGGGGGGACCTTGGTACGACTAGTTGCAAATGACACCCATTTCTGAGATATTCTGGCTGCGCTTTTGTCCAGTAAGAGAAGGCGGGAGGATGCCCTATTCATTTTACATCCCATCTCTGCTACCGACCTTGACAGCCTTCAGGACGGTGACTCCCTGGAACATCTCGCTGGGGGAGTGGGGGGACGGCCGCCCTCTGTAGCCGTCACCTTTCAGAGCAGCTGCCTGGGAAATGAGCACAACATCAAGCCACTGACACGACAAACTGACACGCGCAATGGGAAGCACATTCACAAAGGACACAAAGAGACATCGGGAGGTATAAGAGGGCTTCTTGCTGACATGACAAGAGGGTCTTCTCTGAGTCTGCAGGTTTAAAAATAGTGAGCCTCGCTTGCTGGGTGACTCACATTGGAGAGGCGGTGCAGCTCCCTGCACTCGTCATCGGTGATCACACCGTCCAGCAGCACCCGCTGGGAGCCGTTCAGCTGCTTGGACGTCATCGTCACCTTGATGTCGTCGTACACCAGAGCGCCACCTAGAGGGCACAGTGAATAGGTTAACCCCATCATAAAGACAGTCAGAGTTTAGATTAAATATTGCGGTTTAAAATAAATGTGCAGGAACATTTACCCTCTTGTGGTACTATGATCTTGGCCATATCTGTAGAATCCTTCTTCTTCTCCTCAACCAGAGTCTCGATCTCCTTCATCAGGTTTCCTATCTCCTCCGTGATCCTCGCTGCCGTCTCCCTATCGGCCCTGACACACACAGAAAGGTGAGGCCATAACGTCACTTTAAGGGGAAACGGATATTCGTCTTCACACAGAAGCATGTGCCGGTGGTTGTGTTTTAAATCTTACTTCTGTTTGTCTCTCAGTTTTTTAGGCATGATGTCTTCAGGAGTCCACGTGTCCTTAAAACAAAAATGACAATAACGCCACCTGCTTAGTTCATAAATAGTGCAAAACAGGATAACGAATGGTTTATTCACTTACTGGATCTACAAAGGTGATTCCAAAGGCTTCATATCCAAAGTAGAGCAGCTCTTTCTCCAGTATGGACTGCTGCATGTACTCTTTCACCACCTGAGGATTATAGATTTAAAATACATTTTAAAAAAATACAGTCCTTAAATCCATATTTGACCAAAAGCTAATAATCGTACCCCTGATTAAAGACTGTTTTTGAAAACTGAAACCTCTACGACTAGGAACCAAGTGGTTTAAAGGGTTCTTTCACCCCCACAAACCCTCTAATTGGTGCATTTGGATTGTGATCTGCAGCCTCTCATCAGGTCTGAAGCAGCTCCTCGTTGCTTCATGTCATAAAGTTTTATTAGAATATTTTCTTATGATAATCTCAATAAAATGTAAATGGACAAGGCAGGAAATTCCAATCCAGAACTACACATACATGTGTTTTTCTTCTTGCTAATAACTGTATGTTGTTACCAGGAAGACGATCTTTTCATTTTTAATTATGTAATCAAACAGCTTGGCCCTGTAGTTTACAGAATACATTTCAACAGGAGTAAATGGTGCGTTTGTGGTGGACTATTTTTACTTGTGCATTAGTGAACAAAGGAATGAGTGACCCAGTTCCACTACTTGGCCTTCGTTAATAGTGTAAAAACAATGGAGCACTGTGGCACAGGGCAGCATTTAGAGTCTACACAGAAAGTATTTAGCTGTGTTTTAATAGTAAAATGTAAAATGCATGTTTTTCTGTCTGTGTGTGTTCTGAAGCCTGTTTAAAGTATGATTTTAACAAAATGGGGGAAAAAGCAGAAAAAGCAAAAGCCAACAAAACAACAACATTCCACCCCAAACCAGATCAGGAATAAAATGTTAAATAAATCAATAAGACATACAGATGAAGCGATCATAAACAAATGGACCAAAGTCTCCAACATTTGTCTGGTTTTGATGATGGGTCAGTTTCTCCTGTGTTAAAGGAGCCAATAAGAGTGACACTCCTGTATTTATTAAGGCAGATACAGGACAGACAAATGCAGTAAAAAACGTTTTAGCAAATTAAAAGGTTGAAGATTGCCCAAAATAATAAAAAAACAAGTGCGATATGGACTGCTGGGGAATATTTCTGGAGGCAAATGAGTGTATCGGTGATGCAACAGATGTAAGTATTAAGTTGCCGTCATCAAAACTAAAGGCGACGTTTGGTAGAGTTAGTTTATTAGAAACACCCACAGACATGTTAAATATTTTGTTTGTTTTATTAGGAAAAGGATAATAATAATAATAAGAAATTTTATTTTTAATATCATATTTCAAAAACCAAGTTACAAAGTGCTTTAGAATAGAACCAGAGCTTATGATATAAACATGATCAGTTCGGTAAAGCTAAATAAAGAGAGTGTAAAAAAGAGATTTAAAAGATAAGGATGATGTGATCGCCTTTTCCATTATGTGTCATTTGATAGGTTCATGAAATGAAATGAAATGAAATGAAAAATACTTTATTTATCCCAGAAGGGAAATTCAATCTTGTAAAAGCTCTTTTTTTTTTTTTTTTTTTAAATCAATATAACATATATTTATATACAACAATAATAATCATTCAGTCAGTTGGATTTGTTTTTTAAAGATATATGAATGAACATAAAGTTTTTAGCAGCTGAAACCAGCCCTCGACCCTGAAAGCATTTATAAAACAAGCATTGGCTTAAAAAGTGAGTTTAGTTGTAAAAGACAAATATGCTCCAACCAGAATAAAATCACTGAGTCATTGACTTAAATCAATAGGTCTAATGTCCCACTATAATAGTGTATTATAAGGACATTTAAACTAAAAACCTCACCAGCTACTTCTTTAAAAAGCAGAAAATGTGCTTTAGATTAAGATCAGAGATTCTTTTAAATGTCTTTTGTGCCCTTGAGCATATCTGAGTGCTAATGGAGGCCATTTTTCTGCCTGCGCAGGTTGATTTACGGCTGATGGTTATGGATTAAGATAACTCTCTGCTAAAAATAACTGCGCTCACAGTGACATGCTTTGTGTGAAAGCCACTATTAAAGGTGACGGTACTGTACCTGTCTGGCTGATATGGTGGCCGCCTTGTCTTCGCCCAGCACGGCAGAATAATAATTCAGGTTCTGGTTCATCACCTCGTCTTCGGGGTGGAACATCAGGTAGGTCTTAGCGCACTCGATGGCCTGCTCGTATTTCTCACCTGCAGAGAGGGGGACAGAGTACGATGCATATTATCAGGTGTTGTTGTTGCATTTTGGTCCATGAAGATCTACGTTTCCAACCAAGGTGTGTTTCAGTTTTTTTAAAGAAGCATCATCATCATCATCATCATCATCATCATCATCATCATCATCATGTGATAACCGGTTTATGATTCTGTTAAATCTGAAGACAGATCAGTGGAATATTTTTTTTTATCTCTAACTGAAGACTATAGCTCAATATAAAGGAGTCTGTTTTGAAAGTTGACCTTAAAAGGAAGGTTTGAGGCTAATTTATGGGATGTGTTTTGAATCCTGCAGGATGAAGTACAGGACGCTCTAGTTTGCACACTTTTTCTTTTTACTTTAAGTACCTACTGCAGCCGCCTGTACATAGTATTTACTGTTTCATGCAGTCTGCAGTGAACTGAGGCACACATCTCTGTCATAATGATGATCTGTAAACTCAGTCTGTGATGCAAAATGATCTGTCGAATGTGATCTCGGCAGCTTAAGCTTGTGTATCACGCGGCATGCAAGGGGCACAGATGATGTGCAGAAGATTGTGGGTCAGATTGGTCAGATGCTGGCTTCCATGCTGCAAAATCAGCTGGATGTAGTAGAACATCGTGGTACTTTTGGCACACTACATTTGATCCCGTATGTGTCGTGGTATTTCTTTTTTTTTGGGTGTTGCACAGCAAATCTTGTTGTACTGTTGGGTACAATGACAGTAAAGTTTTCTGGCTGACATACTATGTATTACTTAATCTTTATCTCATATACTGTATAGCATAGTAAAATGGATATCTAATATAAAACTGCTGTCTGTCTGTGAGATAATGAAGAAAAAAGATATCACTGCACATACAAGATTTTACATTTTATCTCTTGACTGGAAGAAAACTTGTTTATTATCTTATTGTCTAATCACATTTTGAAATGCAAAAAAACCCAAAAAAATCCATTGGTAACCATGTGTGATAGATGTTTTCATGGTGAACTACTCTCCATCTTATTCCTTCTTCCAATGCTCAATGCTGATTGGTTGTTAGCTATACATCTGAGAAGGTTTTAACCATTTCAGAGTCGTCTGTTCTGTACAGACGTCACACTGATGAAGGCTTGATGGCTTCATAAGAGGCTCTGTGTGTTAAAAAATATATCTGATCATAGCTGAAGCTCACTGTATGTTGATTGTTTTTAAGGGGAGTGAATAAAGGCCCACATTCTGCAGAAAAGGCTGAGACTCACTGTTGTAGTAGGAGAACTGCAGGTAGTTGAAGTGCGAGGGCAAGAAATCCTCAAAGGGCTTGTCTCTGCCGGCGGTGGAGGCCAACTCCACGGAGCAGTGCTGCTTACAGTTCAGCACCTGCATGTAGTGGTCTGATGCACACACACAATCACATTCACACAAATCGTTATCGTAGTAGCACAAAGCATTTCATACAGGGTTCCCAGCAAACCGAGGACGAGCTGCCTCACCAGTCACACTCTGGAACAGGTCTGCGCTGTACTCCATGTAGTTGTATCCGTCGTAGTTGTAGGATCCCTCACACAGAGCTCTGCACTCCTTGTTGGCTGTGAAATACTCCTCCACGGCCGCCTCGAAGTGCTGAGCCGCCAGGCCGAAGGAGTCGTCGCTGTAGTAGCTCTTCCCCGCAAGAAACTCAGCCTGATGAGAGACAGAGAAAGCATCACTGCTGGTGCAATATGATATAAAAATCTTCTGTCAAAATTTAAAGTTAAATTTGTATGAAGTGAATCAGGGAAACAGAGGAGTTCTGATTCCTCTTCATGGTTCTGCAGAGAATCCATCATGTAGCAAAATATCAAAAGATTTCTGAAATAAACTGAACCAAGCCATTGAAATGTGAGCAAAATGAATAAAAACTACAGATAATCAGGCACCTCTAGAGTCTAGCCAAGAGGCAAAGAGAGCTAAAAGGAATCACACATATCAGAGGAGGAGTTTGCTCTCACCATGTTGGGTCTGGCCTCCAAATCTTTGAAGTCCTCTTCCTGTACTCCTGCCATCATCCTGTAGTACTCCAGGTTCTGTCTCATCTCCATGTGATCCGGGTTGGCCAGGAAGAACGTGTTGGCAGCCGCCACTGCCTTGTCCAGCTTATTGATCTGAAAACCACAGAGCTGTTCAGTTCATCTTGTCCAGTTTAACTGGCCTGGAAAAAAGAAGCTCCAAAATCAACGAGTGAAGGCGCTTAAAAAAAAAATTCACCTTTCCATGAATTTGGCAATCAGACCAAGTGAAAATTCTGTATCACAGCACAGGTCTAAACTGCATGCAGTCACTTTAATTGACAGCCACACATTATAGACTGTATTATATAGACAGTCTATACTTTAAAACCAGTCTATGACAAACACAACATACAAACTGTTACTTAGAGTTGTGTGAAGCCCTTTGGGTGAAGCTTTTGGCACATCTCAGCACCAACATTGGTCCAAAAGCACCAAAAAACACAAAACATCTCCCACATTTACTCTGCTCTACAATTTTACATCTTTTGTGAACCCAGATATTCAGAAAAATACAATTTTACTGTGATCAAGACAAAGACTGGAACAGGTCAAATTAACGAGGCTCACTAATAATGATTTAATCCAAGTTTAGACAAAATGTTAACAAGAGCTAAAGTCTAGTTTGTTGCTTCCAGCTGTGTGAAAGAGGTTTTCCTTTGAGTTTATTAAACAGCTGCAGCATCAGACAGCAGCAGGATCCAAAGAGAGAGAGTGGAGCACAGTAAAGTGTATAGAACAGCAGCAGTAATTCATCATTTACTTATAAACTATCTTCAACATGGAGACGGGATCAATCAAACTGCAAATGACATTGTGTACTGTTCAGTAGCTCAGACAAGTGATTCACAGTTTACCAGCTGCAGTTAAAGCATGTGTTGCATAGCAGCGTCCTCAGGTGAGTCCTGAGCTTCATTACAGGTGTTGAAGAGAAGTTTCAGTGACAACAGAAATCCTAAATAAACTTGGTTATTAGTTAGTTGGACTGTGAGATTAGCTGCAGTTAGTTTATATTTCATTATGTATTATATGATGCTCTGTCTAATCCGGGGCTCCGTCCATCACTGTGGTGAGGACGTCTGAATGAAGCTGTAAAGGAATATTAACATAAAAATGACCTTCCTCTACACGACAGACTCACATCCCTTTAACAGAATGATGAAGCCAGTAATGCTGGGTAGCCGATGTCTGCAAACGGCTTATTTCTCATCTGAAAGTCATAGAGCTCAGTTCAAAAACAGAAAAGGGCCATAAAGAGTTCACACAACTAAGAAACAACCACAAAGCCACATATGCAGGATTATCTTTGTAGTGTCTTTAAGTCTGGATATCTTCCTCCTATATTTGCAGAATGTCTTTGACACAATGTCTTATACCTTCCACATCCACTGATTCACACTGTACAGCAGCTCTATAACAATCCAAGACAGCTGGAACTGTTTAGCTGAAAACAAAGAATCACGTTCAATTAGATTTATGCCTAAAAAGTGCTTCACAACAGCAGCAACTGATAGCAGCACTCTGGGCCTTTAAACCGCTGAATCCTGCTCAGAAGCTGACTCCACCTTAAGACGTGGCACGGCTGTCTTGGTTTTGGGGGGTTGGGGCATTTACAGTAGTCGGCTCCACATCAGCTGCAGCTTTAATTAGATTTCTAAGAAGAAAAAGTTTTCCCTGGGCCTGTTTAGCATGCAGCTACAGTAGACTGTACAGGGTGTGATGCAGCAGTGGCTGCAGCCTCCACGTTCACACATGGAGATGTGTTATCTACCTTAAAATAGGCCACTTGTAAGTAATTATAGGGAGTCCTCTTCTTAAACTCCAGCTCCACTTCTTCACCAACTTGATGCAAAGTTGCTGAACCGAGTTTCTCAGTTTCGCAGGAGTTCACACAATCCGCCCGCTTCAGGATTTTCTGGAAGAAGCCCAGGTCCTCCACAGATCCGGCCCCGGGGATGGGAACTCCAAGGCCGGCCAGAGGCTCGCCGAAAGCGCTCTGATTGGCGCAGCTGATCCGGCACTGAGCCTTCACGTTGCGGACCGTAGCTTTGTTCCTGAGAGCCTTCTCCATGTTCAGGATAACCGACAGCCAGTCCCCCTTGTAGTAGGCTTCCACCGCCGTGTCGAAGAGGAAATCACAAGGCTCCAAAACCGAGTTGCTCAGATTGGAGTCGGACGCGCGAAAAGGCGCAACAACGCCGAGAAATACCAGCGCGTAAAGGAGCTCCATGGCGGTGAAAATGTCCGGGCCCTGCAGAGGGACAGAATCCAGGAGCTGAGGCCGAGGAGCCGGCAGAGAGAGGAGTTGTCACTGCTGCTGTCTCCGGCAGGAACTTGTCTGGAGGTGGGGTTTGAGCAGAAGAGCCCCCCGGTACCACCCCCAGACGCATGGAGCAGCCTTCACCTTTCAGCCTATCACTCCCAAACAATCCATCAAACTTTATTTTGAAAATAAAAATAGCAATTTTGAAATAAAATACGGAAACTAACACATCCAAACAAATGGAACCAATAAAATAAATCACAACTTTACAAAAAAATGAGCACAAGTCAAATAATTCAGGCCTTTGTCAGCCTGGTTTGCTGAGGAAGCAGATCAAGTAGACACATTTTCTCATAGACCTCAATACAATCACACTTCTTTTTAGAACAACAGGAGTCCTTAAAGTGCTCAGAATCTGTAAAAGCAGTCAGAGAGCATGTGAGGACACGTTTTGCACAGTGTGAACAAGAATCTTTTCTTGGTATAAATTTGTGTGGAGCCCAAACAAAGTGAACTGTAAGTTAGATAGAGATGTTCCACTCGACTTGAACCACTCATCTACAAATGACAAAAGCAAACAGATCTCAAAAATATGTAATTTATTAAGATTTACATCCCACACAAAACAGCCACATATCTGTTACAGCATCACCATCAGTATGATAAATTCAATTCAATTCAGTGAGGTTTGTTTTAAGATTCTTCTTCTGCATGCTTAAGATAACCACAGAAACCCCCAATGGACCCCAATAACTCTGATGGATATTTGCTTTTTCTGAAGGAACTTCAAGTTCAATTTCCACTGTATAGAATAGAAATATTAACTATTTCGTCACTGGAAAGTAGTTAAAACTGTGCACATTGTGTTCTATTGATTGTCCAGAGTAACAAAGACTGTTTCAGGAAAGCAGAGTTTTTTTTTTAATGTTATGTTTTTTTAATGCTCCACTCACCTCCACTTTATTGGCGGCTTTTCAGAGTTTGGTTTAAATGACACCTATCTAAAGAGTCAGATTCCAGGTCAGACAGTTCTCCTGTTTGTTTTATTTCAGCTGTTTGGGCCGAAACACCTTGTTAAATTAATTTGAAGGGAAAAAAAGTTCAACTGAAGCTGTGTGAACTAACAGAGAACAATAATGAAAGTGTCCAAATGTGCAGGGCTGTAACTAAATACACTACATTGGGAGAACTTTTTATTGACATTATTGATATTATCATTTGTATGTGATTTATGGTCCAGGAAACACTGACATGGCTGGGGTTGAATGATTATGTTTTCACAGATGTTTTATTACGTCAATGATTGGATCAGAAGTAATACCCTCACTGCAAATATTATTGCATTTAGGCAGCAGAAAAGAAAACTGTGCAATAATGCACTTAATAGATTCAAAGGGGGGAAATGTACATATAAACAAAATGATTTCACTGTGAATCTGTGCAGCAGCTCAGAAGAAAAAAAACTTTGGAATAAATAAGCAATTTAATATCACAGTGACACGTCAGAAGGTGTAAATAATCAATGAAGTGTCACCTGCTGTGCCACGTGCGTAAATTGCGCACAGACCGCATCCAGTTTGGATCTTGCTGCTATTAAAACAAAGTCAAAGAAAAGTAAGTGACCTTCACATTTATTTGTTCCCTGCAATAGCGCCTGGAAGTGGGTTTCACGACTTGAACTAACTTGGTCACACGGAGATACAGAAGTTCCTCCTGATTCATTTCTCTTTAATGTTTTCTGGCGACGCTGGGCTGTTCGTGCTGTGCCTGAAACCTTAAACAGTGTTGATAGCGAAATAAAATACACAATTTAAGCGCGTTTTAATAAAAAACGTGACTTACGATTGTCTAAAATCAAACAATCCTAATTAATAAATAAATGTAAATTACAAGGGGTTTTATTTTGGTGTATTTTAAGCAGGCACATTTTTGGACTACTATCATGAGCAAAACGGGGCGGAGATTGAGGACCCCGGCAGCCTCGGTAATTTTAGTTGAATAATAGTTGGTTACAAAACCGGCAGGTGGACCGAGGAGTGGATATATTTGGTAGAGAGAGGAGTTTGTAGGAGAAACAGAAGATGGAGAACATGGACCGGACCGTCAGTTTACCGAACCAGCCCGACAAAACCACCACAGGTAAGAAATAAACAAGTAATGTACCGTAAAACTCATGTCAGACCAGCAGAAGCTAAACTTATGTAACAAAACTCTCCATTCCTGTTGACGCTTGTCTGAAATTAGCCCCGGACATCTCGGTGTTACATTAGTGGTCATTTAATCACGCTGACAGCTAATGTGTGAGTTAGCATTTAGCAGATGGCTGCACTGCATGTGGTGTAAGTCACTGGCTAAGCTGAAGAAGTCATGTTATATCTCAAGCATGGCGTTAGTTTACTGTTTAATAAGCGGAGTTATGGGCTTAAAGATGATAATACTTGCTATACGAAACAGAAAGCCTCCTTTTGCCCCAGAAGTGCTGTAGTGCTGCAACTGGAGCTGCACGATAATGGGAAAGGAACCAAACCAAAACTCGCATGATCTGTTTTTCAACCATTGGGAAAACAAACAAACAAACAAAAAAAAAGCAACTGAGTTTAAACCAGAATACTAGACCAACTCTAGCTGTGTTGGTGATTTAACAACACAACACCTGCACACACTGCTGAGAGAAAACCTGCTTTGAAATAACATCATAATTTAGCTGAAATATTTCCATACAACTGATTTTTACGTTTCCTTTTACCACCAACTTTACAGTGTTTCTCACATGTTGCTGGGTTCATGTGGAGTCTGCATATTAACAAACTCTGTAAATTTAGTAAAGAAAAAGAAAAAAAACCAAAAGCAAATGACCTTTAAATCAGAGTAAATGGATGATAACAAATGGCAAAGTGCTCAGTTCATACTGTGGTTATTACCAGAGGTCCCAGGCTACAAGTTAGAAGAACCAAACACACCTTCATAGTTGTGAGTAAAAAATGAACACAATGTTCTGAGCTGCGTTACTCATTTAGATTTTTTTAAACATTCATATATTATCAAGAGGCCTGACAAAAACTAAAAAAGTCTAGTTTGTGTTGAAAAGGCTGATAACGTTTGTATGACACTTTTTTTTAATGGTAAAAGATCTGACGCAGAAACAGTTGCCAAGAACCCAGATGATTAATAAGTGATTGTTCCATGTGTAAAATAGTGTTAGAAAATAGTGACATGTGCCTATCGAGCTTCCCTAAATCCCCGCTAACATGTTCAGGTTGCTTTTGCAAAACCTGAGACTGGACTTGATTATCATAGATAAACAGGAAAGTGGAAAACACTCACTGGAGGAAAAACAAAACTTAACGATTAATACATTCCTAATGTAAGCTCAAGAGTGCTGGTTGGTTTCAATGTGCCTGAGGAAATGATTAACTATCATGTACAATTAGAGTTAATAGGGGTCCAATCAATGATAAAGTCTTAGTCCTGTTGTTATACAATAACAGTGGACTCAGTAGTGACGGCTGTAGTCGGAGCCGTCAGAGCAGTAGCGTGCTTTCAGCCACATACCTGTGATGTAACTCTACCTGCATGTGTTTTCTCCAGTGACGCTGGTTGAGAGCAGCAGCACTCCCAGTGGCCTGGAACTGGTCAGCTCTTACCAGACCAACAGAGTGGGAGACCCCATGGACCTGGTGGCCCTGGCAGCTCAAGTACAGAAGGTGTGCACAAAGTTGTTTTTTTTTTTTAAATTGTCATTTACTGTCACGTTATTTTCATGTAAAATTGAATCGTCCTGGAATGTTTGTCTTGTGTTTTGCAGGGAGATGATTTCGTAAAAGCCAACGCGTGCAACAGACTGACGGTCATCGCGGATCAGATCAAGTACCTACAAGAACAGGCCCGAAAGGTGAAGAGCATCAACAAAAATGGCAGCGCAGAAGTCTGACAAAATGTGTTTTTTCTATCCTGTTCTTAAACTGTGGTTGTTTCTCTCTTTGTAGGTTTTAGAAGACGCAAAAAGAGATGCGGACCTCCACCATGCTGCCTGTAACATTGTGAAAAAGCCAGGCACCATGTATTACCTCTACGAGCGGCCGTCCGGACAGAAATACTTCTCCATCATCTCTCCTAAGGTTGGTATCACACTGATAACATACAAGCTTGTTCAGCCTCCCTTACTGCTACGTTACTCTGGGAAGGAGTTACAAAATGCAGCATACCTGTTACCCAACATACCCTCAGAGAGAGTCCTGTACTGACCTGTCAGTGCTGGACGTCACGCCGCAGACCTGTTGTTGATGTTCAAAGTCCAGGTGGCGGTTTAGGCTGGATTTGGCTGGTTAGAGTAGCTGCATGTTTTTGGAAATATAAACCTGTTTCTGAATATGAAGGATTCAGATTTTTGAAGAGTAAATGTCAAGGAATTAATCACTTGTAACACAGTACTATGAGGTTTTTTGTTCGTTTGTTTTAGAGTTTTAACCAAATACGAACACAAGTC